GATATAATCAAAATAATTTCCTCTCATGGATTCACTTGTCATGCGTTTGCCGACGACATTCAGGCTCTAGTCAATGGTCCTCCAGGTTCGTTTTGTGATGAGATTGATAGATTTGTCCAGTGTTTGAAAAAGGTTGATTATTGGATGTCATCAAACTCGCTCAAGCTCAATGTATGTAAAACGCAGTTGCTACCGGTGGGTACGTGGCAGCAGTTGTCAAAACTAGATTTCTGTTCTGTTGAGATGGGAGATGTAAAGATATCATTATCTGCAACTGCATCAAATTAGGGAGTTTTACTTGATCGCAATTTATCGATGAAAGACTACATTAAGAAGATATATACATCAAGTAATATTTATTTAAGAAACATATATCGAATCAGACATTCATTGGATAGATCGGCACTGGTGATGCTGATTCATAACATTATAACATTTTAACTTTTATAACATCGCGAATTGCCTACTGCAACAGTCTGTTTTATAAACTTCCAAGAAGGTCAATTGCTCTTTTTCAGTCGATTCAGAACAGGGCTGCAAAATTGGTAACTGGCAAGATGAAGTTTGATCACGTGACGCCCATCCTGGAAGAACTACACTGGTTGACAATATAAAATATAAAAGAGTAACCTTCAAAATCGCTGTACTTGTGTATAAATCACTGAATGGGATGTCACCAAAATATCTCGTAAAAAAATTAAAAAAAAATGTCTGCGTCGTCTCATCTACCGTCAGATGATATGAATTTGTTGACAATACCGGTTTCACACTTGCAGATTGGGGCAGGGAGTATCTCTGTTGCAAGTCCGACCGTGTGGAACAGCTGGCTACAGTCATTGCGATCATCCGGACTGTCTCTTAGAACATTTAAAAAAGAACTAAATACATATTTGTTCACTGTTAAACTTGGATAATTTATTTAAGTTTTTTTTTCAAATTTTTTTTATTTATTTTTCTTATTAATAGTATTGTAGACTTCTATGTTAATATTATTACGATAGCGTCTTTGAGAACATTTAATTGGCGCTATATAAGTTTCCTATTGATTGATTGACATATATGCAAATTTCATTGAATATTTTTGCCCACTTAGCATTAATTAACTTTTTGAAAATACACTCAACGATGTGGAACTGTTGTAAATCGTATTTATTGAGAACTAGTGACATAATATGGCTTCGGCTAACAACGTTGTTTTGGTGTAAAAACCATTTTCAGAACCTTGTGTGAGATACAAATATTGCAATAAATGGAAATGTAAACCAAATAAAATAAAATAAAATACAATAGTACCTAAAATGTTACGTGTTGCGATTTAAAACAGGCTAAATGAAGCATAGTAATATATGAATAAATAATTTAAAGAGTTACGCTAAAAGCAAAATGTTACCTTGTAATGCAGATGAAATTGAATAATTAGTGACATAAGTTATAGTTTAATATTAAAATAAATAAATGGATACATATTTACGTAATATATATATATATATATTATATATATATATATATTAGGGTGGGTCAAAAAAATTTTTTTTTAGTAAATGAATTCTAATAGCGAAATTATGTTGTAATAAGACATCATAATGAACCATCTAAAATATTATTAAATTATTTTGGGTGGAAAAGCCCGCGCAAAGCCGATGAGGTTTTGTGGAAAAAATGAAAATACAGCCATTCAAAAAGCGTTTATATAAAAACATCGTGCCGTCACATTAAAAAAACAACGCTTTGTTGCTATGGTATCTTAGTCGTTGCTAAGTATTCGTTCAAATACATGCTGATTTTGGTATTTAAATTATGTCATTTATCCTAAAAACCATTTTTTGCATCTAGAAATGCATCTAGAAAATTTTTTTGAAAATTCCGCTAACTGTTGTTTTTTTCTAAAATATTTAGTTAACGTTAAACCAAACATGAGAATCGATGGTATTGATCACAGTCGGACTTAAAAATTTAAAAAAAGTTAGCTCGGAAATATGTATTACCAATTAACAGCCAGAAGAGTGATACTGATAACACCCAATTTAAGATGTCAGAAAAGTGTTAATTTCATCAATAAATGGTGATTCAGATAAAAGTATTTCGTCAGCCGGAAAGTTGCACAAAATCAAGAAAAGCCCTTAACTTTTACCTCAAAAACTATGAAAAAAAAGAACTGCATCCAAAGTTTTACCGTTGTTGTCGCAATTATGGGACCGTTATGGAGTGCCTGATAGAAGCGGTGTTGCAATTGCTTCAGCAGTTTTACACAAACTTTCGTCGGATGTCGTGATTGGTGAATCGTGACTGCGAAGAGTGAGAAAGAAAACACACCAAATGAAACGCACCTGAATCTACCTGCTTTATATTTTGATGAACAAAAAGATAAAACAGGCAAGTAGTTATTGAAGAACACGTATCTATCATTGAAGAACCGTATTCCATTTACTAAAAAAACTTTAGAGGCCCTTGAAATGGATTATTTGCATGCTTCATTTGAATGAACTGCCTTTCAGGCATTTGTTTGATCACATTGACGGTAAAACGTCTGCCCCTCTTCATACAATAGTTCTATTGGTATGTTGCTGGATAAATGTGAAACGGAAGCTGTAATCGAATTCGAGCCAATACCATGTCAATTACCGACACTAAAAACTGATGACAGACCAAAAATATTTGTATGAAATTACATTAGCAATAATTACTGGAAGTTGCTCAGATGATTTGATAAAATAGTCATCTGTAAATATTTCACGAGCTCGTTGATTAACTAAAGCTAACCGGATTTTGCGTCTTAACATTTTTACACCCGTACCATCAAATAATTTATTCGATTTGGCTCAATACGTTGTAAAAGTAAATGGTGTGGAATCATATATATATAAACAGCAGAAAGCACGGATGATGATTCATTTGGAATCGAAAAATGGCCTTGTTTGCAGCATGAATTCGGAAAATAAGTTTATTTTGAATTTTAATAAACTAAACGTTCACCAAAAAACTTTAGTGAGAAAAATTGAAAAACCGAACTACAAACATATTAACGCCAAACATTCGGTAGAATTTATAGAATATTGTAAATATATATATATATATATATATATATATATATATATATATATATCATTAAATTTGTATGCCCACTGTGCGTCAAAAGTTTTTTGATAAGAACTTCAACACCACGTAGTTTTTTAAATTCGTATTTATTTAAAACATCCATGAAATTTTGGCTATTTAGCCATCATCGGAGCTGAATATTACTGTGAATAATATTAGAATCATTGAAATTAGATAAATTAGGAAGATACAAAATAATATTAAGATGAAATTAAATTATATATTGAATGTTTATAATAATAGTGTAATAATGTAACGTACCTTTAAAATATGGTTAAACATAAAATTGAACATAAAATTAAATAATTAATTAATATTTATAATTAAATTTTAAATATCAAAAATTTTTTTTTTAATTTTAAAACCAATAGAGACAGGTGTGTATAGAAAGAAGTTGGTACATAACGTTAATATTGCGTCTATATCGTGCTATAGCGTAAATATCGTAGAGAGTTAGCGTGTACAAATATTGTAGTACAATATATATTAAGTGAATAATAATTGTCAAAATATGATATCTGCATACATGGATGGGAACATGGAAGGGCTAAACATCAGTATCAAACAAAGCCGCCAACGACGTCACTACGGATGTCGGCAGTCTACAAGTGACAGCCTGATTGACATAAGGTGAGCCGAATCTAGGCAAGTAGCTATATCGCTGTGCTGTGCCATCACCAATGCGGGCCACATTCATACGCAGTGGAGAGATATTATAATATTGAGAGAACAGCTGAAGAGTATGGTCAAAGCTATTAGTTTGTTTATTGGTGGTTGGTTTGTTCCTGTGTATATATACAAGAAAGCAACTGTTTTAAATTATCATCCGAGATCTGATGATAAAAATCTGCTGGTGATTCCGACAAGGCAATAACAAATTGGTACGCCTGATATTGCAACAGCTGAATCAACAGTTTGGAACAATCTGCCAGCGACGTTGAGAGGACCTGGACTTTCTTTTTCAACATTTAAAAAAGACTTGAAAACATTTTTATTTTCTGTTGAATTCTATGAACTGTTTGTACATTTTATGTATTTATCAAGCAGGTTCATGGAACTAGGTATGTATGCGCATGTGCAGGCCTACTAAATTTTTGGTTAATGATACTTTTAATAGCGCCTCTGAGAATTTTTTATTTTGGTTCTATATAAATGATTCTTGAAATAAAATATTATATATATATATATATATATATATATATATATATATATTTACAATATTATATAAATTCTACCGAATGTTTGGCGTTAATATGTTCGGTAGAATTTATAGAATATTGTAAAAATTTATGGTCTATTACCAACACACACACACACACACACACACACACACACACACACACACACACATATATATATATATATATATATATATATATATATATATATATTATAACATTCTATAACAGTAGATTTTTTTTAACAGTAGATCGTAAAAATTATGGTCTTTTACCAACATATATATATATATATATTATTGATGAAAATATCAGCCTTTAGTTAGCTTCCTGATTAATTTTCTGATTTGTTTAACAGTAGATCGTAAATCATTGTCAAGTTTCTTGAGTTCACAACCAAAATTTTTATTTAAGCATGATAGAACATTTAAGCATGATAAAACAAAAAAGCTTTCTTCGGTTATCTTAAACCGTCTTCGATATTCGAATTGATACTTTGTGTATGTAGCGAGATGCTCAAATATATATATATATAAATATACTGAGTCTCTACAATGTTAATTCTTTGTTTGTTTAAAGTTAATACTTAACGATCATTTAATTAGTTATTACAATTTTCAACTTTGTGCAATATGACAATTTATTTACCTATATACTTCTCATATATGGATTATATATATATATATTTTATTCATATGTAATATTAAGAATCCTGAAGTTATTAACATGTTTGCACGGATGAATGCTGGTGCGGATGTAAGATCTATTTTGAATGAATACTTTCAAAAATTCTTGGTCACAACAAGTAATGGAGGAGTTTACCACACCAATCCTTACTACGACCAAACAAGTTTAGGTAGGTTCAAATGAATAATTATTACAAAATTGGTATATTGAAGCTGATAAACATATATTTATTAAGGACTGATCATATCAAGATGCAAAGCTAGAAAGACTGGTTCCGACTTAAAGGGAGTTGCTTGCATCGATTTCAATGTTTATGATTTGTTTTCTGAAATTGATTTATTTGATTTATACTCAAATATGTATCCATTTCTGGTTAATTCTGATGGCAAAGTAATTCTACATCCATATCTAAATCCACCGTCCGAAAAATATCGGGATCCATTCCTTCCTGAGATATCTGATTTGGAACAAGAGGACAATGGCATGAACATTAAGGAATTGGAAAAATGTATTAAAGAAAAGTTGGATAATCAATTTAGCTTGAAACAGCAAAGATACAAAAATAAGTTATTAATTTCATCAGAAATATTCATTGTGAAATCGTAGCCGAGGTTTTTCGCGTTTATCCGAGAGGTCACTTGGCACTACATGGCATTCAGTGGGAAGTTGTTTCATCTCATTTCATTTGCAAATCAGTATATTCAATATTATTATATATTAATGAGGTTTTTTTAATAATCACGAATAAATTTTTTGACGTACATTTAAGATCAAAGGACTGTCCATTACATTGTGTTTGGTGTTCGACGCCATTGAAAAAAATTATGTAAAAACGTCTTTAAAAAATTTTCCATTTACGAGTTCGCTCAACTTCATGAACTCAATCAACATTTCAGATTTGTCAGATAAATGCTTCCAAATCAACAGTATTGCTCTTTACAGTATGCTTAAAAAATTTGTAATTTTCAAAAAAGCAAATAACATTTATATATTTTACAATTTCATGTATATAGATGCAACTTCTATTATTCTCGCGGCTAAATCTTTTACAAGTCCAAATGAATACCTTGGGAAAAATCAATCGAATATAGATTTCATTAACTGGAAAAACATTGTGGCAAAACCGAACGACCCTCAATCGATATTCAAGGTTTTATAAATATTTATTTTAATATTAATTGATATAATAGAATCTCAAAACACTAGCCAGGTGTTGTTGAAGACATCCACATAACTGGTTTTGTCGATAAATTTTGGAAATCAATGAATTCATTCATAGCCTGGAAACTTATTTCAACGAAAGAAGGTGTCATGAGAATGTATCCGGGGATCACGATGTCAAAATATTATGATGCCACAAGACGACCATGGTTTAAGTTGTGTTTAATCTAACTGAATGAAAATAATGCTTTATGCGTTTTGTCAGCATTAAATCAAAATTATAAATAAATCCCAACTTTCCAGTCGTATTTGACTTACATCAAGTTATCAACATCTCACGTCTATTCAATGAAACGTAGTTGCTGGGTTAAGAAAGATGCACAGCTCATTATAGGCTAAATGAATTTAACTTAACTAATCACATAGATTTTAATTTAAACGAAACTCAGTTATTTCAGCTCCAAGCAGAGGCAAGAGGAAGCTTTGTGAATGAAGCCCCCCACCCACGATGAAAAATTTTGCTAGGATTAAAGTTAAAATAAACAAAATGTTTGTATAAACTTAAAAAATTAAACTTAAAAGTATTTCAGCCCATAAAACAATAAAATAAATTTTGCCTAAAACCATGATAAAAGCAATATTTGTTGAAAACTGAGTAATAAACCAAAAAATATGCTAAGTTCTTCCTAACAAATTAATGCCTCATACAGAAAATATTTGGCTACGCCACTTAAAATATCAGGCCACGCCACTGGCTCCAAGAGCTGTAGAATTGTTGACATCGTATCGAGCTGACGTTGACTCGGAAATGTTTATTTTTTCAACAGAATTTATTGATTATCTTAAATGTTATTTCAAGTCCAGTTACTAAAACAAATAATATTTTTCAGTCCAAGTACTTACACCACGAACATAAGTAAAGTTCAAATGCAAGTGTGCTTTCGAAGAAAATAAAGTTAACAAATTAGAAAAATCACGAACATTTTTATTTTGAATTATTGTAGAATACAATTGTGTTCATACTTTCGTTACAATTCAAAAACTATAAATTTATTAGGCTGGTGCCTGAAATTTCCATTCAATGCTGGCTTCCAATTACGCTGGACATTCTTTCAACAGCAACACTAGAAGCTGGCTCGCTCAATGCTGAATTGCGGCATCCTTTAGTTTCCTAAACTTTTAATATATTTTTCATGAGAAAAACAAAACACATAATTTGGTCAGGATTATAAATTGATGAAACAAAAACATTTTGGTTGATTTGTTGATAGTGCACCTAGGAAAGAGCTGCGTTTCATTTCAATTCATTTAATGACAAATTTTATGACAAATTTTATGGCAGGTTTGTTCAATCAACATCAGAATATGGAAAATTAGTTTTCTATGGTGCTAATGTCGATTATGCCGAAGGTGGCTGCTTGTGTGGTCTCACCAAAACAATTCCTGCTAGAGGGTTAATTAGCACGTTGTAGTAGAATGCTGTTGTTTGTTGTTGTTGCATGATTTTACATGTTTTTCTGCATGTTGTTGGTAGTTGTTCTTACCTCATGTTGTTGTTGTTGTTGATGATGTTGTTGTTGTTGGCGTTGTTGTTGTAATTGTTCACTTTCCATTTGAGTTACCTCCAATCTGTCGGCAAAAAAATATTAATTGATAATTTTACAACAATGGAAAGTGTCGTGGTCAGTTTTTCAAGTCTTTCCTTCAAATCATATCTGATTCTCAGACTTGTCTGCTGTATGCATCTGAGTCTACAGTTTTTTTATAACCTCCATATCTGTTCCATACTGCTGTATCACTGAGGTCAATTCTGTGCATTTAACTTTTCAATCCAAGAGCGGAAGCGACTGAGATTAGTACGCTCTGCTTTTTCAAGAGTCTTTTTTTATCTTCAACAGTGGTTATAACGTTACCGCCTTACATATGGATGAGAGATTTCCCATTTATCATTATTTGTTATTTTTGAATAGAAATTTTTAACAATTATTTGATGTTTTGTCTGTGATGTAACATAACAATATGCGACTATGTTTTACTTTTTTTTTAAATTATATATATATATATATATATATATGTATATATATATATATATATTTACAATATTCTATAAATTCTACCGAATGTTTGGCGTTAATATGTTTGTAGTTCGTTTTTTCGATTTTTCTCACTAAAGTTTTTTGGTGAACGTTTAGTTTATTAAAATTCAAAATAAACTTATTTTTCAACAAACAAACAAATAATTATTCACTTAACAACAAAATCAAAGCGAAAATTTAAGTTTCATTTTAAAATCATCAAGTTTCAAATCTTTAGTTCTAAAAGATCTCGGTAAGCTGTTACAAAATCTCTTGATGCTATCTGCAGATTGACATCGGGTACAACCAGCAAAATGCCATCATCTGATCTAAGGTTCATACCACTCATCATTATAGACTTTTCTTTTATTTTATCTATCAAATAACTTGGTAACAAGCCATGCACAGTTTTATACAGTAAAATACATATTTTATATTTAATTCTTTTCTTTATAGTAAGCCAATAAAGGCCCTTAAGAATTGGCGTAACATGGTTAAATTTGAGACCTCCAACAATCAATTTGTTTGCTCTATTCTGAATAGATTGAATTGCAGAAATAGACCTATTTGGCAAACCGTAAAACAGACTATTGCATTGCAATAGTCCAATCGTGAATGAACCAATGCATGCACCAAGGTATGAATAGCAAATTTCTCTAATGACTTACGGAGTTTATAGAGTCCTCGAATCTGTCCGGAGCATGAATTTGTTATCATCTTTATATGATCATGCATCGATAATCTAGAATCAAGAATGAAACCCAGATTAGTTGCTTTGTCACTAAATTCTATTTTAGCATCTCCTATTTTCACTAAATCGATATTAAGCTTCATCAGCTGCTGCCATGTACCTATTGGAACAAATTTTGACTTCTGCTGATTTAATCTAAGACCATTGTTTGACATCCAATTTTCAATGTTATTTAGGCAGGTTACAAGTTTGTTGATTTCAGATTTCAGTAATTCTGGCTTATTACTAACTATAATCTGAATATCATCAGCATAGGCATGATATTTAAAACCGAAATTACCAATTACTTAAAAACTTCAGCGGTATACATGATAAAAAGAATAGGCCCAAGCACTGAACCTTGTGGCACTCCTGATGTCAAAACCGTTTCATTAGATAACACATTATTGAAAACTACCTGTTGCTTTCTGTCAAACAGATATGATCTGAACCATTTGATAACAGTACCGAAAATACCATAATCATGAGCCAATTTTTCCAAGAGAATCTGATGGTCTACACAATCAAATGCCGCACTCATATCTAAAAACGTGACTAGAGCCACATGTTGTTTGTCCAAAGCAGCAAACAACTCAGAAAACACATAAAACAGTGCAGTTTCTGTTGAATGATCGCGGCGATATCCAGATTGGTGAACTGGTAGCAGGTTGTTTACATTCAAATGATTCAAGAGCTGTTTGGCAACCACTCGTTCAAATATCTTGGAAATGAAACAGATGTTGGAAATTGGTCTATAACTAGACAAATCATTTCGATCCATATTCACTTTCTTTAAAACTGGATAAACCATAGCATGCTTACAACCATTAGGAAATGTGCCACTGCTCAGACTCAGATTTAAGATACTGGTAAGAAAAACGATGCTTTTTTAAGACAGGCTTAAACCTACAACGGATATTTACCTTGTTGGTGACATCAATGTTGACCTATCTAAATGCACTACTCAAAGTATGGCAATTAAAAATTTACTAGCAACTTACAATATTTCCTCGACGATTGAATTACCTACACGAGTAACAAATACATCAGCCACTCTAATTGACCACATCTTTAGTAATAGTTCTTTACCACATACAGCTGGTATTCTTTTATCTGATTTTTCGGACCATTATCCAATATTTTCATTCTTCAATAGCACAAATTTGTCCTCTCAGCCACCTGGTATCTTAGGTACTCGTCATTTCACTACTAAAACTTTTGACATTATCAATAAAATTTTATCCATGACCAAATGGGATGATGTACTTGGATCTGAAAACGTTGAGGTATCCTGTCTGTCTTTCTATAATCACTTTAACTCTATAATTGATAGATATGCTCCAATCAAGGTAATCAACAACAACAAGCACAAAGGATGGATTACCAGGGACATCATAAAAGCCTCTAGAATAAAAAATAAACTATTTAAAAAATGTATTTTGAATCCCACACCTTCTAATCTAAAGATATATAAATACCACCGCAATCGTTTCACTAGTGTTATAAGAAAGGCTGAGCGTAACTATTATAGTAATATATTTTCTAACAATGACTCAAAATTTAAATGGAAATTCATTAATTCGTTGCTTAATAATGCCTCTTCTCATAATATTTCTCAATTAATGATTGATGATAACGTTGTTACTAACAATTGACAATTCTA